TCACAAATTTTTATTCAAAATAAACTATTTACGTATAGCAATTTCTCTTATTATTTAAGTATTGCAATTTGCACTCAGTTTATGATATTATATTTTTATACACAATTATTACATGCTTTTTTATAAATAGATAAATTCCACTGCTTTATCATTCATATAATCATTAAGGATTCATAGAACCTTAAGACTTGCGTTGAGTTTAGTGATTTGAACGTGAGACGAAGTAAAACAGACGTACCGAGATGATTTGGGTGTCGATGGGCATGTTGTCATTGCCGTCGATGTTCGACTCGATGTCGTATGCCCTCGACGTGGGAGTCGCGTAAAGCGATGAATGAAGTGCCAGGAGTCCCGGAGACCCGCCATAGCTGCTGACCGGCGGTGGTGTCACCTCACCCCTGTCATAATTATCCAGCATCCTGCGAATCCGAAATTTATACCGTGATTAGCCGCTCGTTTACGCACTCGGGGCCACGGTGCTAACGGTAAAATCGATACGCATCCGGTGCGAGAACGAGCGCGTGCAAACGATAAAATAGCGCGAGGCCGTGTATCGTTTCGCTCGAACGAATGCTTGTTTGTCATGTGCGCGACGATACACGACCCTCTCCGCCGATAAATCTCGTCGAACGCAACCGGAGGCACCGAGGATCGATTTAGATCAAACGAGTTTTTCGTTTCAATAAGTATGATCAATTTTCATTAACACTAGATTGCCCAAGGAAGTCATTTTGACTGCTTTTGGGTCTTTGGGCAATATAGGTATATACTAAGTTTCAGTCTTTCTAGTGTTAAATAGAATAGCGAAAACTGCATGGCCTTTTCTTATGATTCTTTCAAAATTAGGCACTTTGATGTAATTATTGTCTTAATTGTTGTCCACCATTTTATCCAAATTGTGTACGTTAAATTCGATAAGGTAAATGCAACCGGTGGCAAATTGTACTGATACTCGTATTAGATTGCATTGTATCTGCAAGATGAGACCCTGGGTATAAACTGTTTTGAAAACATTAATATAAAACCAAACGAAAAGTTAGACGAAATAGTTGGTATTGGAATGTAGACATAATATTGAGTTTGGTTTGATAGGGAATAGATAATGATGGTAGGTGGAGATACAATTTTTGTTTGAAAGGTTCTTTGATAGTACGGAGGAAAAGCTTTTGCAATAAACAATTTTATTTATTAATTTGTTATTGACGTTAGCGAAAAAATTTTTATATGGAAGTTGTAGGTATTGATGTCCTCTATAAGAAAGATTTTATGTATTTTTCTTATAATTTC